ATCCTCCATTGCCTTCCCGGGCCACAGCAGAGAGCTGGACTGGAAGAGGAACAACTGGGACAGAACCAGCACCCCAACTGGGACTAGAACCTGGAGTACTGGCACCACAGGTGGAGGATTAGCCTAGTGAGCTGCGTGCCGGCCAAAGTCCCCTATTACTATTGCATTGGAGTCTATGTCTTCTTTTACATCTATTAACATTTGTTTTAAATAGCCAGGCACCCTGAAATTGGGTGCATATACATTTATTATAGTCACATCTTCCTGTTGAATTGACCCCTTAATCATTACAAAGTGCCCTTCTTTGATCTTTTAGCAGTTTTTATGTTAAAGTCTATTTTGTCTGATATTAGGATAAGGTACACCTGGTCATTTCTGCTTTCCATTAGCATGGGATATCTTTTTTCCATCCTTTCATTTTCAGTCTATTGGTGAGCTGTGTTTCTTGTAGCCAGAAAATAGATGGGTCTCATTTTTTAATCCATTCAGCTGCCCTGTATTTTTTAATTGGAGAGTTGAGGCCGTTTACATTCAAGGTTACTATTGATTAGTAATGACTTGGCCATGAATAGGCAGTTCTTAAAAGAATTACATATGGCCAACAAATGGATGAAAAAAGGCTTACTATCCCTAGTCATCAGGGAAATGCAAATCAAAACCACAATGAAATACCACCTCAGTCCATTAGATTGGCTGTTATCAAAAATACAGCAACAAATACTGGCAAGAATGTGGAGAAACAGAACACTTATACACTCTTGGTGAGAATGTAAATTAGTGCAGGCACTTTGGAAAAAAGTATGAATATTACTTTTAAAAACTAGAAATAGAACTGCCATATGATCCAGCAATACCACTACTGGGTATCCTTCCAAGAGACATGAACTCACTGAATCAAAGAAACACCTGTTGAACCATGTTTATTACCAAGGCATGGAATCAACAAAGGGGTCCATCATCAGATGGATGGATAATGAAAAAGTGTGTGTGTGTGTGTGTGTGCAGAAAATGAATGAAACTGAAGGACATCATGTTGAATTATGTAAGCCAGACAATACTGCATGTTTTCCCTCATGTGGAAACTGAAGAAAAAAATAGCTTCTCAATCTGAACACAGAATGGTGACTATTAGAAGCTGGGAGGGGTAGAGGGTAGTGGAGATAGAGGATGTTTGGATAATTGATATAAGAAATAAGTTCCTAGTGTTACCCAGCATAGTTGGGTGACATAGTTTACAATAACCTAGTATATATTTTGTGAATAAATAGAAGATAGAAGCTCTTGACCTCCAATAATAAAGTTATCTCAAAGAAGGGAAAATATCATTACCCAAATTTGATAAATACACTTTATAAATATGTGTGGAAATGTCACAATGTAGCCCATAAATATGTAAAATTATTTTAATATAATTTTTAAAATTAAATAGTTGACTCAATATTTTAGATCTTGGCAACAGACAAATACACAACTTGATCTAGTTGTACTGTCTATCATCTCTGAAGGGATTTTTTTAAAACCAACTGTAGAAGAATACACAGAACTAAGAACTCTTCTACTCACTGTTAAGCGTTTTTGCATGTAAAGGACACAGATTAATATCATCTAAGGAAAGAAGCACACAGGGCAGAGTCCAGGAAAAGTACCAGATAGCTTCTAGTTGACCTCTCCTGGTGGTGTCGTGCATGTGTTACTTTCCCAGCATTGAAGTGAGACAGTACTCACAGATGACGTCAACCAGGGAACCCAAGCCTTGACTTCCAGAGCTTTAACTGGAGCTCCACCACATACTTTCCATGATAGATCTTTAGTCTCTGGCTCCTTTCTGTTTTAAAGATTTACTTATTTATTTGAAAGGCAAAAGGACAGAGAAATCTTTCATCCTCTGGTTCACTCCCCAAATGGCCAGGGCTGGGTCTGGCCAAAGCCAGGAGCCAGTTGCTTCATCTGAGTCTCCTACATAGGTGCAGGGGCCCGACATGATTGGAACTTGATTGGAAGTGGAGCAGGCCAGCGCCGCAGCTCACTAGGCTAATCCTCCACCTAGTGGCGCCAGCACACCGGGTTCTAGTCCCGGTAGGGGCGCCGGATTCTTTCCTGGTTACCCCTCTTCCAGGCCAGCTCTCTGCTGTGGCCCGGGAAGGCAGTGGAGGATGGCCCAAGTGCTTGGGCCCTATACCCCATGGGAGACCAGGAGAAGCACCTGGCTCGTGCGTTCAGATCAGCGTGGTGCACCGGCCACAGTGCGCCAGCCGTGGTGGCCATTGGAGGGTGAACCAACGGCAAAAGGAAGACCTTTCTCTCTGTCTCTCACTATCCACTCTGCCAGAAAGAAAGGAAGGAAGGAAGGGAGGAAGGGAGGAAGGGAGGAAGGGGAGCAGCCAGGATTTGAAATGGTACTCATATGGGATGACAGCATTGCGGGTGGTCGCTTAATCCACTGCACAACAATGCCAGTCCCTCCAGCTCTTTTAGAGGCTAACTGTTACTGCAGCCCTCTTCATAAATCACATCATCAGACTTTCTGGGGGCCAGGCTCCAGGGCAAACAAGGTCACTCCTTTAAGGAATGAATTTTCATGGGACTAGAAATCCTCTTCCAATAGCTAAGGGCAATGGCCAGACTTCACTTTGGGTATGGCTACCTTTTCACTACACAGGCTGCCTCCTCATCTCTGCTCAAGGCCCTCTTATAGCACAGTAATCCTATTTGCCTGGGCATCTGGCATACCATATGAGTACCATATGATTACTGGCATTCACATAGCCATCACAGGACATGCATAGTGGTAGCACTATGTGTCTACGCCTAGAACTTGTAGGAGCTGGTGTGGGGTAAAGACAGATTTAAACAGCAAACCCATCCTATGAAGCCATTGCATACATTTCCACACTTTGGTAATAACCTAATTAATCATTTCCCTTCTTGACCCTGTTGTGGGGCTAGCACTGTGGCATAGCAGGTAAAGCCACCGCCTGCAACACCAGCATCCCAAATGCACACCAGTTCAAGTCCCGGCTGTTCCACTTCTAAGACAGCTCCCTGCTAATGCACCTGGGAAAGCAGTGGAAGATGGTACAAGTCCCTGGCTTCAGCCTCGCATAGCCCTGGCTATTGCAGCTATTTGGGGAGTGAACCAGCAGATGGAAGATATCTCTGTGTTTCCCTGTCTCTCTTTGTAGCTCTTCTTTTCAACCAGATGCATAAATCTTTTTTAATAATCCTGTTGTGTGTTGGACTCATTGTGTGTGCCTCTACTGGGTGAAAATCTCAGAGCCAATGGCTCAGATTATGAGCTCAGAAAATGAAACTGCAGGAAATATTAATGTTGCATACACTGAGCCTGGGATTTTGTCATAGCCTGTTTTGAGTTGATCTAACAAAGGCAATGCTCTCTGAGCCAGTTCTTCAGAGAGCCACCTGGCAAGTCAAAGCAAAAAACACAGCTGTTTGAGAATAAGACCTGGTCTGCCTCTTCTGTTGAAAAATACCAGAATGTGGGCTGTTCAGATCTGTAATTGCCACATGGAAGGTGGGATAAGCACAGGTAAATTTAAAAACCACAAAGCTCTCTTACTGAGAATCAGGTACCCCTTTCCTGATTTAGTCTTTACATGTTTTTTGCAAACTTTTGTTTAGCTCATAGAATTCTGATACAGTTGAATCTGATAGTTTTTGCCAGTTTATTTGCTATAGTGTTGGCAGACATACCTTTGGAGCTCTCTACACCATGATGTTTATGATGTCATCTTTGCTCAATTCTGAACCTTGACACTACTATGTATTTGCCTGAAGCCATAATTCAAAATTTAATAGGCATGGAAACGACGTAAGGAATCTATGGGAGCTTTTCTCCACACATTTTCCAATCTTCACATTGCATCCTCCTTCTGCAGTAGAAATGCTTTCTCTTGTGCTCGATGGTGAAATCACAAGAATTCCTTGGTCTGTAATTCTGCATCATGTGGCTACTTATTATATGCCCACTGCTTTTTCTTGGAGGACTAAAATATTTTATTTATGAATTTGATTGTAAGATGATATTTTTGAGTATCAATTTTCAGCTGCCCAAAATAATGAGCTGTGAGTGTTGCAAAGTACTTGTTGTGCATGAGAGTAGATAGTTTTACAATAGGTATTCAAGGTACATGTTGTTATTCTTCCGCTATTTTTATTGTATTCTTCCTAATATTACCATTTTAGTTTTACACATTAATTCCTTTTCATGTTTCATATTCATGACAAAAGGTTTATGCATTATTTACCATCAGTTCTTTTTTTTTTTTTTTTTGACAGAGTGGATAGTGAGAAAGAGAGACAGAGAGAAAGGTCTTCCTTTTGCCGTTGGTTCACCCTCCAATGGCAGCCACAGCCGGCGCGCTGCGGCCAGCGCACCGCGCTGATCTGAAGGCAAGAGCCAGGTGCTTCTCCTGGTCTCCCATGGGGTGCAGGGCCCAAGCACTTGGGCCATCCTCCACTGCACTCCCGGGCCACAGCAGAGAGCTGGCCTGGAAGAGGGGCAACCAGGAAAGAATCCGGCGCCCCGACCAGGACTAGAACCCGGTGTGCCGGCGCCGTTAGGTGGAGGATTAGCCTATTGAGCCGCGGCGCTGACCATCAGTTCTTAAAATGATGTTCTTTAAGTTATTATGAAATAAATATGCATATTTACAATATATTTTATCTTAAAATATGAGATTTTTCTTCTAGTTCATATATATTTTGATGTGATGGTGGACAAACACACTATCAGGCCTCTTAAAATTTACCTAGTGTTTGTGCGTGTGTGATTTTTTTTTCACAGAGCATCTTAAGTAGGGTTCCCTTAACTTGAAATAAACGTAATTATCCTCTGTTGAAGAATTCGAGTCACATTGTATTCAATGTTTTGAGTTTTTGGCTAGGAATTTTTATTTCTTCAATGAAAGTATCATTTTAGTGTTATATTCCTCTTCCAACCTGAGTTAACCTGAAGCCTGTGGTTCTTTATTATCTTTCAGATATCTGTGCTAAAATTGGGATCAAAGAATTTTTACCAGAAGACACACACCACTCGCCTCTGCACGGGTCCCACACGGGCCGTGGATCCCTCCGCACGGCTGGGGTGTGGGAGACCAGGACCCCCGCGCCGCCTGCGATGCGGGGCGCTGGCTGCCAGCACCGGCAGAGCCCGGGATGGGGCGTGAGACTTCGCGGGGGACTGCGGGGGTCGCAGAGCAGACGCTGCAGGTTCTTACTCGCGCTCTGCGTGGCCAGCTTGTGCTTCATCTCCTTCCTGCACTTCAAGGGCCTGTCCTCGGTCCCCTTCCCCTGGAAAGGGGCCTCGCTCTGCCCCGACCTGATGTCCTGCGTGCTCTGGAGCCGCGCCCCCGTCACGCCCGCGGCCGGCAGCCGGCAGGCCATCCCGCTGTACTTCCGCTCGCCCCTGCTGCCACCGGCGCCCCGCAGGGCCATGGAGCTGCATCGGGTGGACTTCGTGTTGCCAGAGGTCACCAACAAGTATTTCGTGCGCTCCCATGCGGGGGGCGTCTGCTTCAAGCCCGGCACCAGGATGCTGGAGCCCGAAGGGGCCGAAGCCCGCCCTGCTGCGCCGCGGAAAGCTCCGGGGCCGGCGGGCAGCTGCGCGTGCCTGGCCGGCTGGCACGGGCCCACCTGCGGCGTGCCCGCCATGGTGCACTACTCCAACCTGCCCACCAAGCAGCAGCTGGCGCCCCGGGCCGTGCCGCGCCGCGTCATCAACGCCCTCAACGTCAACCACGAGTTCGACCTGCTGCACGTGCGCTTCCACGAGCTGGGCGACGTGGTGGACGCCTTCGTGGTGTGTGAGTCCAACTTCACGGCCCACGGCGAGCCGCGGCCGCTCAGGTTCCGCGAGATGCTCACCAACGGCACCTACGCCTACATCCGCCACAAGGTGCTCTACGTCTTCCTGGACCACTTCCCGCCTGGCGGCCGTATGGACGGCTGGATCGCCGACGACTACCTGCGCACCTTCCTCACGCAGGACGGCGTGGCGCGCCTGCGCAACGTGCGGCCCGACGACGTGTTCATCCTGGACGACGCGGACGAGATCCCCGCGCGCGACGGCCTGCTCTTCCTCAAGCTCTACGACGGCTGGCCCGAGCCCTTCGCCTTCCACTTGCGCAAGTCGCTCTACGGCTTCTTCTGGAAGCAGCCGGGCAGCCTGGAGGTGGTGTCGGGCTGCACGGTGGACATGCTGCGGGCCGTGTACCGGCTGGACGGGATCCACCTGCGGCGCCACCAGTACTACCACATGCCCGACTTCCGTGCCTACGAGAACCGCACCGGCCACACCCTGGTGCAGTGGGCGCTCGGCAGCCCGCTGCACTTCGCTGGCTGGCACTGCTCCTGGTGCTTCACGCCCGAGGGCATCTACTTCAAGCTCGTGTCCGCGCAGAATGGCGACTTCCCGCGCTGGGGCAACTTCGAGGACAAGCGCGACCTCGACTACATCCGCAGCTTGGTCCGTACCGGGGGCTGGTTCGATGGCTCGCAGTGGAAGTACCCACCCGCCGACCCCAGCGAGCACATGTATGCCCCCAAGTACCTGCTCAGGAACTATGACCAGTTCCGCTACCTGCTCGACAACCCCTACCTGGAGCCCCAGAGCTTGGGGGCAGGCGGCCAGCAGAGCTCGGTCCCGACCCCAGGTCACTCGCTGCCAGGGGCAGATTGGACGCCACAGCAAACAAAGGCTGTGTGAGCTTCCAGCACCCACACATGGCAGGATACGGGTAGGAGCTGCCCGGATGTTATCTTCCTGCACCCTCTTGGCCGCTAGGTGGGTCCTGAGTGGCGGAAGGGGAGAGCTTCTGTCTAATCGCTTGTCAATCAAGGGTCAGCCTTTTTCCTTCAAAAAGAACAGAAAAATCCTTCCTGTAGGAGAGAGAGCAGACCTAGCTGTCTAGGCAGCCCTTTTGCCAATCAAGAATGCTGAAGCTTCGAGATGCCCCTAGGGAATGCATGGTGATCACTGGTAGGGGCAGGGCGGGGGCAGGCTGGGAGAAGGGAGCCTTCAAGAATTGGAAGAAGTAGGGGCAGCAGCCTGGCTGGGGCGAAGCCCACCATTCCCATCCAGGAGCTTCGCACCTGCGGTGGGTTAGGGGGTGTTCCAGGAGGACCCAGGCTGTGAATAGATACATTGGGATTCAGGAGCAAGAGGAGACATCCAGGGGGCCAGCTTAACCTAACAGGTTAAGCCTCTGCCTGGGATACTGGTGTCCCATTTGGGCACCAGTTCATGTCCCTGCTGTTCCCCTGTGATCCAGCTCCCTGCTAATGACCAGGGAAGGTAGCAGAGGAGGCCCAAGTGCTTGGGGCATCTGCCACTCCCATGGGAGACCCAGATGAGGCTCCTGGCTCTTAGCTTTGACTTGGCCAGCCCTGACCATTACAACCATTTGAGGAGGGAACCAGTAGAAGGAAGACCTGTGTGTGTGTGTGTGTGTGCCTCCCTCTCTGTAGCTTTGACTTGTAAATAAATAAAATCTTTATTTAAAAAAAAGGAGATGCCTAGGAGTGGAGGGAATGAGAAGGCGTCCAGCTGGAAAAGGTACTGGTGGAGGTTTTGCCTGTCCTCGGAAGTGCTGGGCCCAGGGAGCTGAGGACTCCACCCTCCTGCCCCACAGGACGTCCCTCTGCTGGGAGCATCTGCTGGATTCTGTGCTCCCCACCTTCCCTTGTGTGAGCTGACACGGGCCCTGGGCTTGGGGAGTCCTGGGGACTCTTCCTTTTTGTTCCAAAGTTGGCCTCCACATTCTTTCCATTTATATTTCTGTCTCAGTCCTTGCAAGGCCACGAGTTGGGCTCTCAGGGTGGGATGGGAGCTGCATAGTAGGGGGCACCTGGAGAGCAGTGGGGAAGAAGACTGACAGGAGGCTTCTGCATCGTTCTGCTTCTCCCCCTCCCTCATCCCTTCCCCTGGGCCACACAGCCCCAGCGTCTGCTGTGCCCCTCTTTGGTCAGGAGGGGGTCATGAGTTGGTCCTGGGCCAAAGAAAGGACATTAAGGCCTTTTGGTTTGCCTTGTGGGGGGCAGGGGATGTGTTTGCTGGAGCACATTCTAAGATGCTGTACTTAAGAGAACAGGGGTTTGTGCAACAGCACAAAAGCTTGTTTCTAACTCCGTTGTCCACAGAGAGATGGCCCCAAGCTAGAAGCACCACTCTGCTTTCCTTCGTACACACTCTAAATCTGAGTACAGAGTGGCTGCTTCTGCTCCCATCATCACGTGTGCCATCCAAGCCTGGAAGAAGACAAGAAAGGCAAGGGAAGGATACACCCTTTCCTGATAAGGGCATGAGGCTGAAAGGGCAGAGTTACTTTTGTGGCAACTCACTGGCCAGGACTTAGTCATTGAGCCACCAGGAGCTGCACTGGTCACTGGAAGATAGAGTCTAGCTGAGATGCCGTGTGCCCCGTCCCATGGTGGAGATTCTCTTGTTAATGCAGGAGAAGAGAATGGATGTGATAGACAACTAGCACATCTGGCTGGCATAGGAGGAGGGGAAGGGGTAGAAATTGACTGTTTCAGTCGCAGGATCCTGCTCTCATGTTCAGAGCTCCTGGAACAAGCTGCCCCTGCTCCTCTTGCTGTGCCCATCCAAGGTTAGTGTGCAGAGAGAGCCTGCACTTGTTGGGAAAATGGGTGCGCCCCCTCCCTAGGGTCCTCAGATGCCCCCAGGGATGCTGGGGTGTCAGGCTGCTCTGTGGAATGGTCTGTGACTGTGTGCACGTGTGCATACGTTTATGGGCATGGGCGCATGCTTGGCTGTGTATTTGTACGTATTTTGAGGCATCTCTGTAAATAGATGCTTGTGTGTGGATGTGGGAGCCTGGCCCAGGTCTCTTCCTCCCTGGGACCTGGAGCCTGTGCCCACACCTTTGAGATGCCCCTAAGTGCCTGGAGCAGAAAGCCCTCAAGAAGCCGAGAGGATGGAGTCAAGGGCTGCAGAGCCTGTGAGCCAGGGGCTGGGGGCGGGGGTATGAGACATCCTCCCGCCCTTCTGAGGGCCCTGCTCCTGAGAGGCCACCACCTCCCCTGCCCCTCTTGGCCCCAGCCACATCTCCCCCAATGTTGCTGCACTTCTTGTGGGACTTTTCTGGTGTTTTAGGAGGGGTTTATCAGCCAGGAGAGGAGGGCGTTTCCCTTGTAATAGCTCTGTCTAGGGGAAGTACCAGGTGAGGTGGGGTGGGGCCCTGGCTTCACAGCAGCCTCTGCTGGGCAGGCAGGGAGCAGGAGGCTTCCTGAGGAGACTCCCTGGCCCCACTCTTCTCTAGCCAAGGGGATGCCGCCGAGGGAGCCCCTCCCTTGAAGTCACAGTAGCCTCCCCCTCTGCTTCCTCTCGGGACTGAGAGATGGCTCCAGAAGGCAGGGTGTCCATAACCGACTCTGGGTCAGTCCAGGCCAAGTTGCCCTCCAGAGTTCAACCAATGGACAGGCAGGCCCTCTGTGATAGCTTCCTCACCCTGTGCCCTTGGCACGCTCAGCTGCCATGGGGGCGTCCACTCTCCAGGCTGGCAGGTTCCCTGGCCTCCAGGTCACTGGCTCAGGGGTAGGGGATGGAAGCTGGGAGAAGCTCAGATCTGCCAGGTTCTTCTTTGCTTTGCAGAGCCCGTGCGACAGGGCATACTCATTGTTAGGTTTAGGATCTTGGGGTTCGAAGGCAAGGAGGTGGCTAGTTAGAGCAGACTTTATTCTAGGTGGCACAGAAATGGGGGAGACAGTGGACATTGAGCTGCCCAGACAGAGGGCGGGGGTTTGCAGCCAGGCTTCATTCTGTCTGAGCAGCAGGCAGCTTGTTTGGGGAGGTGCAGAGCGCCACAGGGACCTTGAGAAGCTGGGTGGAGATGTGCAGAGAGGCTCCTTGGTGAGGTCTATAGTGCGTTGTCTTAGCGGTTTTCCAGAGCAATCAACGTTCCAGTAGGTTTTACGTGAACTATCTGCACCCAGTGTCGTTAGGCCCAGCGTTCTAACATTCATGGCTCCACAAGTGGAGAGGACAGTGTCAGACGTGAGGGCCCCAATGCAGGGCTGACGTGATCCACATAGAATCACAACATGCACTGGGACATTGAGGAGCAAGGGACCCCAGGCCACTCCTCCACTATGGAGGGAGACCACCCTGACCTTGCTATGTTCAAAACTTTTCCCCCAGGAATCACTGGCCCATGACCCCTGGTCCCAAGGGGGCCTGTCTGTACCATGTGTCCAGGGAGTGCAGGCCTGTCCCTCCGTGGGTCACACTGATTCCCGGGGTAGGCATGGGTCGAGGCGGGAAGACAGGACTTGTCCCCAACACAAGGCAGGGCCCTAGGAAGTGTGTAATCTAAGGACATCATTGGTTATATAGCATTACTATTCCCATTTTTAAATTGTAATTAGTTTTTAACATTCAATATGATTTGTAGATGGAAGTCTAAGAAGTTAATGATATTCCCCTCCTCCCTCCTATTCTCTTTCCTTCTACTCTTCTGTTTTGTTTTGTTTTGTTTTGTTTTGTTTTTAGATTTTATTTCTTTATTTGCAAGTCAGAGTTACACAGAGAGAGGAGAGGGAGAGAGAGAGGAGAGGGAGGGAGGGAGGGAGGGAGGGAGGGAGGGAGGAGAGAGGAGAGAGGAGAGAGAGAGAGGTCTTCCATCCGTTGGTTCACTCCCCAGTTGGCTGCAATGGCTGGAGCTGCACCGATCCGAAGCCAGGAACCAGGAGCTTCTTCTGGATCTCCCACGTGGGTGCAGGGGCCCAAAGACTTGGGCCATCTTCTGCTTTCCCAGGCCATGGCCTGGGAAAAGCAGAGGAGCCCATATGGGATGCTGGCACTGCAGATGGCGGCTTTACCCACTATGCCACAGCACTGGCCCCTGCATACATTCTTAAATAATTTATTTTTTTTGTAAATGGTTGGGTTTCATTTCACCTTTAAAAGGATGCTTAAAGCAGAAGATAATGTTAATGATAAAAGCAGCTACCCTCTTCTCTCCTGCTCTCTGCTCTCTCCTGCTTGCTCTCTCTTCTCTCGTCTCTCTCTTCTCTCCTCGCTAGCTCCTCTCCTCTATGTCTCTCTCTCTCTCATACTCTCCTCTCCTTTTTTCCCTCTTCACCCCTTCCCTCTGGTCTGCTGGATTTTCCCCAATAAACTCTTTCCCTTTAAAAAAAAAAAAAGCAGCTACAAAGTTGAGCAGGAGGAGGAGAAGACAACAAACACAAAGAATTACACAAACCAGTGATGCTAGGAAGAGATAAGTGCTGTAACATTGAAGATTTTGATTTCGGGGAAGTCTGGCAAAGTGTTCATGAATTTGAGCAAAAGCGTGGCTGTGAAGAAATTTTAAGAGAGTGCTTATGAGAGAGAACCTGAATCTCACTGGTGGAGAAAATCAACAAGACAGCAAATCCTGGATTAATTTCCCTTTAAAGCTGAGGGTTTCTGTAAGAAAACAATGTTTCAAATGTGGGAAGTCTTTCATGAGAATTTTTTTTAACAAAGCAAGATTTATTTAAGTCAAAAGGCTCCTGGAAACAGTAGGCAGGAGGGGGAGTTCCAAGGGAAGCAAACCCGGGAAATTAGTCAAAGTGGGGTCTTCTAAGCACAATTCAGGGGAGGAACAGAACCCAGAGAACAGAACCCGCCAGAGAGTCAGAACTGTAATCCTGTCTGGCCTGCTCCTGATAAAACAGAAAAAAAACAAGAGAAGGGTGGAATTGCTAATTTCATCTTTCTATCCTCAAAATAGAACCAGACGCTCGGAGCAGGTGAGACTGGCACTGTGGTCTTGCTAAGGCAGCTTCTGGGGAAAAGCAAGCATTCTGTCCCTCTTAAAGGGACCTGACCTACCTGCTAGTAACCCATCTAACTCCTCACCCTGAGACACCTTGTGGTCACCATGAGAGGAGGAGGCCAACGCTGGTTTGCAGAGCAGAGAAGCTTGTTCTCCTGGGTCTAGAGGCAAGAGCACAGGCTTTCCTCCCACTGGGAGGACCACCACGGGGCTCGTAGGTGCATCTGGTTTGTGTCACCAGAGCCTGTAGGGAGAGCCCGGGGACCCTTCAGTCATGTGTGGGACATCTATCTTGGCCTCCACAGGCAGTCAGATCTCCAGTGACTAATGCAAGTAAAACATGTCCCCTTGTGTGTGGGGGAGGTCCTTTTCAACAATCCCTGGTGAAGTGTCCACTGCCTTTGCAGTGAAAGCACTTGGGAGGCCCCTGCATTCCTCACTGGAGCTAAGACTGGGAGCACACCCCTTCTCTTATCCCTTTGTCCCTGGTGGTGGGTCCCCTCCTGACCTCTTATAAAAAAAAATCTGGGCCCCCAGCACTGGTATCCCATATAGACACATGGTTCGAGTCCCAGCTGTCCCACTTCTGATCCAGCTCCCTGCTGATGTGCCTGGGAAAGCAGTGAAAGATGGCCCAAGTGTTTGGCCCCGTCACCCATGTGGGAGACCCCAAAGAAGTTCCTGGCTTTGGCCTGGCCCAGCCCTGTCCATTGCACCCCTTTGGGAAGTATTGGGGAGTGAGCCAGCAAATGGAAGATCTCTCTCTGTCTCTCTCTCTCTCTCTGTCCCTCCCTCCTTCTCTCCTTCCCTCTTCTCCTCTCTCTGTAACTCTGCATTTCAAATTAAAAGAAAAAAAAGTCTTAAAGTCACCTGTCCTTCTATAGAGTCATGTTCTAATGGAGTATTTTTTTAAAATATTTAGCCAGGAGCCTCTTCCAGGTCTCCCACGTGGGTGCAGGAGCCCAAGCATTTGGGCCATCTTCTGCTGTTTTCCCAAGTGCACTAGCAGGGGGCTGGATTGGAAGTGAAGCATCTAGGACTCGAACCAGAACCATATAAGATGAGGGTGCTATAAATGGCAGCTTAACCCCCTACGTTACAGCGCCAGCTCCGAGCATGTTTCTTTAAAGTCTCCCTCAAATGTTCTGAGAAGGTGGAAGGATTTTCCTGTGGCCCTTGATTTATCAGGAATAGTTTAGCACAAAAAGAAGCCTGGACTTAAGGGACGCCAACTCACTTAGTCTAACTTTTTTCATCCTCTAGCTTGTAACCAGGCAAGGGATGGTGCAGAAAAAGATCATTTCCTTTAAGCTCAGTGGGTCAAAGGAATCCCAGTGTCTGAGGATGCGCCCAAGAAGTGTTTGTGGTAAATTATTTGTTTCCTATCTGGACCGAGAAGATAAAAACAGCACCATCCCTCACTTGTCTCTCCCGAGTTTCTGACACCTCTCAAAACTCTCTTGCCACCTGTGGCATTCAAATGTGCACTGAAGCCCACAGGGAGAAATCTGTTAACAAACACACACACACACACACACACAAAACAAAACATAGTCTATGTGGGAAACCTGTACAAAGGGAGTACAAATATATTATGGGAACATGGAATTAAGAGATAACTTTTGTCTTTTTTCCCTCAAAAAAGATTTATTTATTTGAAAGTAAGAGTTACACAGAGATATCTTCCATCCACTTGTTCACTACCCAAGTGGCCATAATGGCCAGGGTGGGGCCAGGCCAAAGCCAAGAGCTAGGAGCTTCTTCTGGGTCTTCCATGTGGGTGCAGGGGCCCAAGCTCTTGATCATCTTCCACTGCTTTCCCAGGCACATTAGCAGGGAGCTGGATCAGAAGTGGAGCATCTGGGACTCGAACTGGCACCCATATGGGATGCTGGTGCTGCAGACGGTGACTTAACCCCACTACACCACAGTGCCAACCCTGATAAGTATATTTTGATGAAAAAAAAGAAAAAAATTGAAATCCATATCTTGTTTCTATGTGACATGCATTTCCACAAACTTTTGAAATATTTTCAAATATGAAATGTTTTGAAAATGGATTTTGTTTACATTTTCAGTCACAGCAGGCTGAACTGCAGATTTCAAACTGAAAATTTATGACTTAATCAAATTGAGAAGTATACCCAAGCTTGATTCTCAATTGTGGATTTTCTCCAAGCGTTAAAACAGATATTTATAATACATATGGGAATGTTTTCATCTATCCTTCATTGCTTACAAGCAGCAGAAAACACATTAGAGAAAAACATTACAAATGTAATGAACAGAGAAAACTGTTTGCTAGTGAACTTAAGTTCACCCTGGTTATTGGCAAATTCATTCTGAGAGACATGACAGATATATGGACTTTTAGGCTATTCTTAAGTCTCATGAAACATCAGCTATTGTACACCAGAGAGAAATCTTTGTTAGGTAATACACACACACACACACACACACGCACAGATGAGGATACTTCCAAAAGTTCATGGCTGATAGAATTCATGGTAAGATTAATTGGGTGCAAAAAATTTTGAAATCTAAGTAGAATCTCTTTATTTCCATTTTATTTGAAGGGGTTGTGTGTGTGTCAGGGAGGAGAAATAGGAGAGAATGAGAGACCTTTCATCTCATGGTTGGTTTTCTCCTCAAATGACTGCAACAGCCAGGCTGGGCTAGGTGAAGCCAGGAGCCTGGAACCCCATCTCTCCACTGCAGTCTTCCACATGGGTGGCTGAGGGCCAAACACTTGAGCCATCATGTATTACCTCCCAGGCTGTACATTAGCATGCAGCTGGATTAGAAGTACAGGAGGGGGATTCAACCCGGCACTCCAATATGGGATGCCACTGTCCCAAGTAGCGGCTTAGCCAGACGCACCACAACTGCCCCATAATCTACATCAATTGACAGAATTTTTTTTTTTGGTCTGTTAGCGAAACTGACGATTTTGGAGCTTATCCTATTCTGTTCAATATCCTCCTGTGGATTTCTCTGACTTTTCCATCATTCTTAGTCTCAATTTCAACATTTGAGAATTTTTACACAGAGAAAATCACATGGCTCTTAGTGCATCACATCAGAGGCACATGATACACATATTTTTTACTAATGGTGATGAGTTTTATTATTTGGTTGTGATGCTGTCTACTAGAGTTATTCATTTGTATGTGTGCTTTTGACCCTTTATGTTTTATAAGAAATCACTAAGTGATACTTTGATTTGTCCAATTTATTTTAGCATGGACTCAAACTATTTTTATATGAATTGAACATCATACTCTTTTGAAAACTTGTAACATTTTGCTATCATTTAAAAAAATTGTTTCCTTAAAGTTTTCCCTTCAAGGGCCAGCACTGTGGCATAGTAGGTTAAGCCTTGGCCTGCGGCACTGGCATCCCATATGGGTGCCAGTCTGAGTCCTGGCTGCTCCACTTCTGATCCAGCTCCCTGCTGATGGCCTGGGAAAGCAGTGGAAAATGGCCCAAGTGCTTGGGTCCCTGCACCCACATGGGAGACCTGAAAGAAGCTCCTGGCTCCTGGCTCCTGGCTCCTGGCTTCAGATTGGCCCCGCTCCAGCTGTTGTGGCCATTTGGGGAGTGAACCAGTGGATGGGAGACCTCTCTCTGTGTCTGTCCTCTCTCTCTAACTGCCTTTCAAATAAATAAAATAAATGCATTTTTAAAAAAGATTTACAGGTGCACATGGAAAGATCAGACATAGTC